TTTCGGATTGAGCCTTATAATTGTTTTAATAATTTCTAAAAAGATAAATTGATTTATTACTATTTATTGTATATCCTAGTACCATAGCTTGCTGAACACACTTGAAGTATTTGCTCCTTCATGAATATGAATGGATAATTAAATTCGTATGCTGCCATACCCTCAACAACTCTGGGCAGCTTACAACAATAAAAAAAAAAAGCTGCCAAGCACAATGAAATGGGAGGATCAAAGTCTGTCTCACCAAAGGCCTAGGTGAAGTTCAGAGTAATAAAACATTTATTTTTATGCATGCATGCTTCATAACAAAACATAGTGATTGCAATAAAAAAAGAAAAAGTGCTATAACAAAGTGAAAAAATGCAACAAAAAGTATGTCAACAATAAATGGTCACAAATCTATACATCTCTAATGCAAATATTACTCAAAATGTGTATATGATACATTCATACAACTTTTAACCTGTTGTGTTCTCTATAAATGTGTCCCATATTTCATTATACTTGTCCATACACAATCTTCTATAAGCAATTCACTCATGAGGGACAACAGCAACCAGGTTTTCAGTCCATTTTCAGTCCACAGAGTTAAAAGGAGACATACATTTATCTTCCCAGATAACTGGTTTTTTGGTCACATGGGCATGAAGAATCCATTTATATTGTTCAATTGTCAAATTCCCTGTACTGGTATGCAGTTCAAGAGAATGTTATCTGAAAATTTTACTTTTGTAACACAATCGTATTTACAAAACCCATTATTTTTTAAGCATTTATGGCTCTTGATTTTAATACCAAAATCATGGTGTCATATCAATGATTACTTCATATTTGCTTTCCAGGAGTATATTATGCATTCATTGCTTCTCATAGCATAACTGTCGATGTCAGCATGAGATTTGTTGCCAACTTGCTCAGAAGAAATTGCCAACTAAGAATAATATCTAGTCCTATGAAGAAAGTAATAATGATATGTCATTGAACAAGAACAATAATTTCAGTAAATATTAAAAAGGCAGTTTATATACAATATAGAAATAAAAGGAAGGCACCCTAGTAAAGTACCCTTGTAAGCAAAAAACAAACACACACACAACTGACGTCGGATAATTTTTAATAGGTTGATGGAAAGCTAGAGAAGGCACAAAGAAATTTACCTAACAAAGTTGCTCCCCAAATTACATATGTACTATAACTTATTTTAAACCATCTGACTCGCAGTCATATTTATACAAATAATGTATTTTCATCTTAAAATAGTAGTCTTACAGTGAGATTTATTACCTGTAGCTATAAAGACAAAGCTTTCTTTTTAGAGTGGGGAAGCTTCATAATTAACAACACAATAATTTCTTTGGGCTTCACAGGTACAATTGCTAAATTAATAGGGAGAACATATAATTGAGAAGGTAAACCAAAATATTTATATAAGACTTAAAAATACATTTAAATGCATTGTTTGAAACAGGCAGATGAAAATTCCTATGAATTAATGGCCACCTCTTATTTTACCAATGCGAAACTCAAAACGTGCTGATTGGAATGACAAAAACCTTTTCCTCATAAAATACCTGTATTTTAGTGCATATATCCCATATTGTTATATGATAGAATATACATCTCGAATTATTACCACTTCCTTCAATATAAATAATGTAAACAAATAAATGCTCACCGTTTTTTCTTTTGCAAAAGGACAATCCACATTACAGCACCAAAAATGAGGAAAAGCAATAGGATACCTCCCACAGAACCTATTAAAACCAAATAAATATATTTTTCTTTATTCAGTTTGATTTTCTCTAAAAGGAAAAGTTAAAGCACTGATTTTATTATAAACTAAACTGAATAGCCAAGCAAGAAAAGCAATACAAATTTCTAACATTAAAATACAATGAAAATTGACCCATCCTAAGGTGTTTAAGTAATGCATTGTAGAATCCATTCTACAGAATTCAGAATAATACACTGCTCAAAAAAATAAAGGGAACACAAAAATAAGACATCCAAGATCTGAATGAATGAAATATTCTTATTAAATACTTTGTTCATTACATAGTTGAATGTGCTGACAACAAAATCACACAAAAATTATCAATGGAAATCAAATTTAGCAACCCATGGAGGTCTGGATTTGGAGTTACACTCAAAATTAAAGTGGAAAAAAACACTACAGGCTGATCCAACTTTGATGTAATGTCCTTAAAACAAGTCAAAATGAGGCTCAGTAGTGTGTGTGGCCTCCACGTGCATGTATGACCTCCCTACAACAACTGGGCATGCTGATGAGGTGGCGGATGGTCTCCTGAGGGATCTCCTCCCACACCTGGACTAAAGCATCCCCCAACTCCTGGAGAGTGGTGCAACATGGCGTTGGTGGATGGAGCAAGATGTCCCAGATGTGCTCAATTGGATTCAGGTCTGGGGAACGGGCGGGCCAGTCCATAGCATCAATGCCTTCGTCTTGAAGGAACTGCTGACACACTCCAGCCACGAGGTCTAGCGTTGTCCTGCATTAGGAGGAACCCAGGGCCAACCACACCAGCATATGGTCTCACAAGGGGTCTGAAGATCTCATCTCGGTACCTAATGGCAGTCAGGCTACCTCTGTCAAGCACACAGAGGGCTGTGTGGCCCCCTAAAGAAATGCCACCCCGCACCATTACTGACCCACTGCCAAACCGGTCATGCTGGAGGATGTTGCAGGCAGCAGAACGTTCTTCACGGCGTCTCCAGACCCTGTCATGTCTGTCATGTGCTCAGTGTGAATCTGCTTTCATCTGTGAAGAGCACAGAGCGCCAGTGGTGACTTTGCCAAGCTTGGTATTCTCTGGCACATGCCAAACGTCCTGCACAATGTTGGGCTGTAAGCGCAACCCACACCTGTGGATGCCGGGCCCTCATACCACCCTCATGGAGTCTGTTTCTGACCGTTTGAGCAGCCACATGCACATTTGTGGCCTGCTGGAGGTCATTTTGCAGGGCTCTGGCAGTGCTCCTCCTGTCCCTCTTTGTATAAAGGTGGAGGTAGTGGTCCTGATGCTGGGTTATTGCCCTCCTACGGCCTCCTCCACTTCTGATGTACTGGCCTGTCTCCTGGTAACACATCCATGGTCTGGACACTACGCTGACAGACACAGCAAACCTTCTTGCCACAGTTTGCATTGATGTGCCATCCTGGATGAGCTGCACTACCTGAGCCACTTGT